CAGCAGATGGAGCAATATTCCATATTTAATAGTTCTTTTGTTCAACAGATGGCGTAATAATTTTATTAATTCTAAACGGTAACTGTTATAAAATAAAATATTGATCACCCCTAGCTACTACGCGATAATATAATAAGTAAACGAGTTTTTGACCTGGACAAATATTTTCGATGTAGCAGGTATAAAAATAAAAGTTTTGTATTAAATTCGACACATCGGTATATTTTCTTAGTAGTTCATTCTTGTATACATGGTTTTCGTTAAGAATGGGACATAGAGCAACTGACGATTCTCTGATTAAAAATAAGACAACTAAACAAATCATGCTTAGATAAAATGATTCTCGGTACCGAATTACGGTGTTAAAATCCAAAAAATATTTATAGCTATATTTTTTTTAAAATAAATAATAAAAAAGTTTTCTATTTGCTATCAACTTACATAGACATACTGTATGTATGCAACTTATAACATATTGCTGCGCTGTTTTTGTAAGAAAAAAAAAATTAATCATAAAATTTTACTTCATTTGTAGAGTCGTAATTTATGTTTTCATATTCCTACTTTTTTTATCAATTTAGAACTACAGTACTATTTTCAATTATTAATAAAAATTGTGTGTATTTTAGATTAATCAATAAGAAAAATAAGCATTTTTGAAATATTAATAACTAAATACAAATTAAACAACAAATGAATAAAAAAGCATTTAAAACAGGTTGACTGCCGAAGCAAATGTTGTGGTCGGGTCTGCCGAGCCGAAGTAGTTTTTCTAAAAATTTAAGTCTGTTTTTACGTTTTAAGAGCAAAGTAGTTTAAGTAAATACTTAGGTAAACTACAATATCTAATAGAAGCGTAAATAAATATATAAACGTGGCGCGGGATTAAATTATTACAAACATATGTCGCGTGCATATATTGTGAATAATATATTCAGGTTGTCTCATTAGTGCGTAATTATTCAATATTTCAATTTGTGTTGTAGACACGTAAACAATTTCTAAATAAAAGTTATATGAATTTCAAAAATAGGTATTTTAAAGATATTTTTAGATACACAGGGTTTTGCGTTTTTGTCTGACAAATAAAACGGTATATTTTTTAAGTAGAAAACCCTGTATTTTACTTCAGTTTTAGAATGCTTTAGTAATACTGTATTTAACCCTAGAATTTTATTAACAAATATTACAGGGTTACCAATAAATTAATTTTTTTATGAAATTAGAGATATATTTAGACCCCAAATTAAATTATCATTATTTAGGTATGTTTAAAATAATTTCAATTTTGTGTAGTGTAGTGTAGTGTAGTAATAAGATACTAAGCTAACGAATAGTGGTAATAGAACTGGATTATTTTATACAGTGTGTTTTGAAAAACAAGTCTTAAATATGGCTAATTCCAAGTTAAATTTATTGAATTTTTTTCAAATGCCACACCCTGTATATTATTTAAGCATACAATTCCTTATAAATTAACACATCCAACGATACCAATATGTTAGTCAATAAAACATATACAGGGTGTCCCATTAGTGCGTAATTGATCCATAGCAGTTTTATGATAGAAAATACGAAAAAAATTAATATAAAAGTTGTATGACCATATTTAACAATTATTTATAAATATACATGGTAATTCATAAACAATTGTCTGACCAAACCTATACATTTTTAAAGCAAAACACCCTGCAGGTAGTTATACATATTTGACTGTTTTCACAACGTCGAACAATAATATCAATTTCATTCCTATGCTATGTTGTATATAGGGTGTATCAAAATGGTCACGATTTTCTCAATTTTAGAATGGAACACCCTGTATGTTATATGTCACCAATTAATATAATATTCCATTGAAAAAAATTTAAACATTTGTAACCTCGCGTGTTGACATACCCTATATATAACATAGAAATGAATGAAGTCAATTAAAATTATTTGACGACGTGAAAACAATCAAATATGTATAACTACCTGCAGGGTGTTTTGATTTCAAAATGTATAGGTTTGGTCAACATCTCGTTTATGGACCACCCTGTATATATAGGACTAATTTTTAAATATGGTCATACAACTTTTATATTAATTTTTTTCTTATTTCCAATAATAAAACAGCTATCGATCAGTTACGCACTGATGGGACACTCTGTATATATGTTATTCTCTAACATGTTAGTATCGTTGGATATGCAAATTTATAAGGAATTGTATGCTAAAATATTATATCGGATGCTGCCTTTGAAAAAATTGAGTAATTTGACTTAAAAGTAACCATATTTAAGACACATGTTTCAAAACACTCGCTATAAAAGAATCCAGCACTATCACTACTATTCGTTATCTTAATGTGCTATGAGTCAGTGTATTAAACAATTTTGATAAACAATTATGATAATTTAATTTGGATTCTGCATCATTTTCTAATTTTATAAAAATTTAATTGCTTGGCAGACCTGTAATATTTTTTTAAATTATTCTAGGGTTGAATACAGTATTACCAAACCATTCTAAAATTGAAATAAAATACATGTTCTATTTTAAAAATATGCCAAGCAAAAATGTATCACCCTGTATATATCCAAAAATATTTTTAAAATATGTATTTTTTAAATACATATAACTTTTCTTTGAAACATGTTTGCGTGTCTTTAACATAAATTAAAATATTGAACAATTACGCACTAATGGGACATACACATGGGTACATACACATAGCATTCAACGTGTTAACTCAGAAATAAGATTCCTTATAAACATAAAATAACATTGAGAAGAAGAAAGCAAAGTACACAAATATTACGTGCGTATCATACAATGATGCCAGATCATTCGGATTTAAATTACATCGCAATGCCATAAAGTTCCTTCCCTTTCCTGCAGTTAACCATTGTATATTTCACCCACTTTAAAATCAAATTCGTCCTAGAAAGAATTGTAAAATTATCGTATAAATCGATAATCTGGCAACGTGGTCAACACTTGTTCATACACAGGCAAAATCAATCGATAATTTGGAACCAAACGAGACAAATATATATGAAAATCACGAAACAATAAAAGACGGCATACCGCTGTATCACTCTTTCAAAAATTGGTACCTCTAAACAATCATTTACCTATTAAAACCATCTCTAAAACAGAGTAGCTACATGTTTTTTACGGTGACATCTTCTTAAAAATAGATGAACTACATGAACTACACACAATTACAGGAATTCATAGAAAATCTCTAATTTTGACAAATAAATTTATCAAATATTTGTTAATCGTATTTCCAGTTAGATTTGAAAAATACGCAATAAAATTTAGAAATATTTTGGCGGGATACTTGGAAAAATATGTAGAATGAAATCTCCTACTTTTTAGCCTCTGGTTTTAAAATCACTTTTTATGATTTTTTTTAAAATTCAGTGTATAAACAGGACAAATAAAAAATAGGAGATTTCATTCTCCAAACCTTATACTTTAAGCTGGTAGAAGATTCATTTTAATACATTTAGCGGGATTTAAATGCAATCGGAAATGGTAAACCCTTGCTTTTCTTTCGAATGATAGAGAGTTATTGCAAGTTCACTTAAGGTCAGTCACTATTAGTGCCGCTCTTATTTTGACATCTGAGCATGCGTAGATCACTAACTTTAATAAAGATTATGCCTGTCCATAATAAGAGAGTTATTGCAAGTTCACTTAGGGTCAATCACTATTAGTGCCGCTCTTATTTTGATATCTAAGCATGCGCAGATGTTTATGTTCTAAAACTTACTTTATTAAGGATTGTGCCTATCCTTAATTGTCGATGTTTAAGGGCAGCAGGTAGTAGCGACTTTATAGTTTTCGGATGCGCTCGTCATTTAAATCTTCTAAAATTATAATTTATTTGACTCTAATTACGATGTTACTATTAGTGGCTGGCTTCATAGAAATTTGCAATATCTCTCTATTAAGGACAGGCACAATCTTTATTAGTGTTAGTGATCTCAGATGTTAAAATAAGAGCGGCACTAATAGTGACTGACCTTAAGTGAACTTGCAATAACTCTCTATTATCGGATCAGAAGAAACCAAAACGTTCCGTTAAAACGTAGTTTAAACGTAAGTGAAAGTGTGGGTTGTAGTTTAACTAAAAATGAACCTTTTCTCAGAGCTCATGCCCTGTCAGTGAATTGCAACAGTTCCTCTGAAATTGAAAATACTGAAACATTGGAAATAGTGTCAACACCAGATATCCAATCATGTTATTACACATTTGATATCAGCTCCTTAAACAGTATAATCACAAAGACATTTCCTCAAATAATTTATTCCCAGAACATACATAATGTTTTGCCCAGATATATTGCTCAATGGGCAATTAATTATAATATTACTTGTCAAACGATTCAAACCATAACAAATACTGTTTATGTACTAAAATAAAATGAATAGGAAAAAATATTTTTGCATCAACGATTTATTACTATTTGTTTTCTTGTAGTACATCCTTAAATAATGAATGTTTGTTTTTTGCAGAAGCAGATAAGAGAGCAAAAATATCAACGTCAAAAAAAGAGTGTGAGAAGTTAATTGCCGCATGTCCCAAGAAAGCGAATGAGCGGCAAGATAGGACACAAAAAAATTATCTTCCCATTCAAAAACATGATTTTTAAAATATTTAAAATAAATAAAAATTTAAATAAACATCTAGTAAAAGTCATATATTATTTATTTTATCTTAATAACCTAAAATATTTTTTTTGTGGATTTTTGTTGGTGGGTCGTAGAAAAAATATACTGTACAACTCGAGTGGATTGTCCATATCCACAAACTACTATTCTCTGACATTTATTTGATTAATTGCCGTTTCTCTTTGGTTTTATCCTTCTTTTACTTGACATTTGTAAAGAACCAATACATTCTATTTTTTCAATTTAACTAGCTTTGTATGTATAATGATTAAAGAAATCTCCATCGTGCTTGAATAAATTTTCGCCACACTGTATAATAAGTCTATACTTACCTATTATTGGTTCTGCGGGAGCTTCATGGGCACTTGCATCCGTTGGTAATACATATGTAGCGCTTCTTTGGGCACCTTCAGAAATCAGACTCAATAAATTTTCTATATCCGACTGTGCAGAAATTATTTTTACATTTCCACACATGAAAACAAAAATGGAACTTATGATTTTAAAATTCATTTTTTAGTTAAAATTTAACGTCTGCGAGGAATTTAAAAACAATTTAATAACCCTTTATATAAATAAATATGTTTAGCTATCTTTTTTATTATAAATTGGATTTATCCGTTTGTTAATTACATATATTTTCCATTCAAAAAATTTGTATGTGAAAAGGTGTTTGTTGTTCTGTACTATCAGTTTCTACATTGCATAATAAATAATTACCTTTATTTCGTTTATTTCGAGATGTGCTTAATAGGTTTTAATATTTAACTGCAGGCACGAACTATGGGACTCAAATTGCACACAGAGTAACTCGATTGGGAGAAACCTAAATAATTATGCGGATAATAATGATACGGTTATTCACTATACAGAGGAACCAACATTCTTCCCATTTAGTGGAATGACACTAAGTACGCTAGATATAGCGGTGACAAAGAACATCGACAGTATAGAAAACATCAGGACAATAGGGACCGTGCGTGAAATATAGAGGCAGCACTACTGCCGAAGTTAGCCCTCTCTAGTGTTCAATTTTAGAATTAAATGGGGTAAACATTGCAAGTAAAAATAAAGGATATTTTTTAAAATATTAAATATAGTTAAATATGGATACCGGCCCGTAACAAACAATCGTTTACATGGTCAAAATGATATACAATGTGAATAATTATTAAAATCTGGACATGTATACACATTTTAAGCAAAAAGATTTAAATGGTTAAGTGACAATAAATTGTAAAGTTGTACCTCAAGCAAGTGTATCCAATGTCAAAATATCGGTATTTAGTAACACTGAATTTAAAAGTATTACAATAACATTTTAAAAATGTAAATTAATAAAAAAGATTGAGAATAATAATTATTCTTTATGTTAGTAGAAATGTCATTCATCCACCTTAGACGTTTATGAGACACCCAAATGCTATACATAATTATACAGATTGCTCACCCATCTATAAAAAAGATTACGAAAAGCGGGTTGCAATTGCCGCGTTTGAGAATCCACATCGGATGCATTTTTTACATCTCGAGCGTTTTTTAATCCACATCGGACACATCTGTCCCATTACATTACTGAATCACGTGATCAAAGATTTACTACATCTCAGATGCATCCGATTCGCAAATGCGACAAATGTGTACTGCTATGATTGCGTTCGGTCTGCCAAGTTCCTTTAACTCCTTTAACACTTTTAACTCTAAAAAAAAAATAATACAAATATGAGGGAGCTCGTCCTATTGTCTTCCTTAATCCTAGTAAAATATTTAAGACTAATACAAAACCATTCTTCCTACCAAAATCAAGCCAACGCTTCAGTATTAAAATAATCCCTATATATACGATAATCGTGGAAAACCCTAACAAAATAATGTTGACATAATGTTGACAATCGATCCTATACAATTATTATTACTTTTTACGTTGTCTCTTTCTGTGTTCAGGTTGTTCCTCACTTTGGGTCATGTCAATTTTTAAATCTCTTACATTCCATTTCCCTAAAGATTTCCACTTATCATCTATTAATTCATATGTACTAACCCCTAGTTTCTTTTTAATTTTATACGGTCCTGAAACTTTTTTATCTAATTTGGCTGAATAATTTTTACTTTTATTAGATAGATTATATTCCCTTTTCCAATCTAATTGCCCTTCACGAAATTGTACAGGTCTATGCCTTAAATTATAATTATGAGTTGAGGTTAAATGAGCTCTTTCTCAAAATAAACGAAATAAAGGTAATTATTTGTTATGCAATGTAGGAACTGATAGTACAGAACAACAAACACCTATCTACATACATATTTTTTGAATGGAAAATATATGGGATCACAGTAATTAACAAACTGATTAATCCAATTTATAATAAAAAAAATAGCAAAACATATTTATTTAAATAAACGGTTATATACCTTTTCCGGAAGAAAATATTTTCTGTAAAAAGTACTACTTAAGCCAAATTGTTTTTAAATTCCTCGCAGTCGTTAAATTTTGAATAAAAAAAATGACTTTTAAAATCATATGTTCAATTTTTGTTTTTATGTGTGGAAATACAAAAATAATTTCTGCACAGTCGGATATAGACAATATACAGAGTCTGATTTTTGAGGGTGCCCAAAGAAGCGCTATATATGTATTACCAACAGATGCAAGTGCCCATGAAGCTCCTGAAGAACCAATAAAAGGTAAGTGTAGACTCACTATACAGGAAGGCGAAAATGTAATTAAACACAATAGGGATTTCTTTAATCATTATACATACAAAACTGTTAAAATTTGAAAAAATAGAATTTACTAATTCTTTAAAAATTAATAAATCAGGCCCGTTTTCCGAAATATTTGGGCGGTACCTTTGTTTTTAAATATAGAAACAATCTTCAGTAAGATTTTTGTTTAATATCAAATATCGCTTAACATAGCGAAGAGAAATGATTTCGTCTTTAGAGGAGTTCCTTCAACTTTTTTTTAATACCTTACGAATTACGATTTGAGAATGAACTATAATTTAGGTATTTTTATTTATTTTTTATTTAAAACCTAAATATTTAAAATCTTAAAAAAAAATAAAAAAATATATAAAAAACTGTAATTTCAAAAATTTTTACTTACCTGAATTTTTAAACAAAATATTTTTTTTTTTCAAAAACGGCTTCCAGGTTTTTTCAAAATTTGTCCATCCGTAACTTATGTGATGAGGATGAAATCAAAATTTTTGAACAGAAGATTAATTTTTTTTAGTTGAGTAAGATAAACTTTAAAATGTCTTGTTTTCGTTATTTTTTTAGATTATGGAGAAGAATACGATTTTATCGTCATTGGGGCTGGCGTTACTGGCTGTTCTATAGCAAATAGACTATCCGAAATTGGAAAATGGAAAGTTTTGCTAATCGAAGCTGGAACTTTTTCTAATGGATTAGTCAGAATACCTGCAATGAATGCATTGAATGTATTCTCGGACTACAATTGGGGTTTTAAAACTGTACCACAAACCACGGCGTGTCTCTGTGAGTTTCATATTTTATTATTATCGACTAAATCTAAATAACAAATGAAGGGTTTAGACAAAAACCATTCCATTCCACTGGAATAACTTTTACGGTAAAAAGTAAAAAGTAGGCTTCATTAAGACGTAATTTTGTAAGAGATCAGACAAAATTATAACTAAAAATTTACTATTAGTAACATCATCGTATTTTGAAAACTATATTAGATTAGATTAGGAATTGGACGTTATTTGTCCTTATCCATTATTTGTTTTAGAGTATGTCGTCTAGCCTGCAGCGCTTTCTTGATATCCTTCGCAAATACACGTATACTCAACCTTGCGAAGGGTTCATTTACGCATACTTTCCTAAAATGAGATTCTTGAGACCCCTTCGCAATTGCTTGCGAAGGTTCTACATTCTAAATTTGGCAACGTTACAATTAAAATAAAATGACACGCTGAATGACCGCATGATATTAATATTTTGTATTATGAAATGACAGTTTTCATTATCTGACTGCATTTAGCTCTTTAAAATTTCTTAGAAAATGTTAAATTTGTTAAAAATAATTTGGTTCATTTAAAGCACTGCTGATTTCTTTAGGGCATCTGTATACTGATGCCCGAGAAACTGATACAGATAAACTATTACCAAGGTCCATATTACAGTTTCCTGGCACAAAAAAAACCCTAAAGCTACTATTAAACAAATAAATGAAATACGTTAACTTCTATTTAATCTGAGGTCTCATATAGGGCGAGAGTGTATTTATTAAAAATAGACACAATTCCTTTGAAATTCTAAATGTCTGCACAAAATGATGTTCATTTAAAATATAAAATTATTATTCTGGAACGAATTTGGTCTTTGCACTGATATAACCATAGTATAATCGTATATCAAGGTTTTTATTAGGTCTAATACGAGTATCCATTAAAAAAATCTCTTAAATTAAAAACTAAACACATATGACACAAGTCAATTCATTAAACGCACACGCAAATAGTTTGCGATTGATAATACCCACTCGCAGTTTTATGCGAGTACTCGAATGTGTTGCGTATAACCAAGAATACACATTTTGCTATTTCGTTCGTAATGTCAGACATTACGAGTGACCTTGAAATTTGCGAGTGATCAAGAATAGGGCTGCTGGTCTTTTTATTAGCTTTGACAGTGGCTCCCGCATGTAGTTGCATGCATTTGTCTTTTCTTCGCCCAATGTTAGCAACCTTATTCCAGCCAGGCCTTCACAATGGCACAGAACTTAGAATGATGTTTCCTCTTCTTCTTCACAGAACCTGCACAAAGTTGCTTCTTCTGCTGGATTGATGACATTCATGTGCCTCTTAAGGCAACAGTGTCCAGTAAGAAGGTCTACTGTTATCCTAACCATTTGACGCTTTTGATCCAGTAGGTCTTTCGTGAACTTGGCCGATGGTTTCTCGATAAACTGTTTGACCTGCCTTAATCTTGGATAGTTGTTCCACCATTCCTGAGATTTTTTTTGCATCCATTGTTTAATGGATGCCTTGCACAATGCCTTAGCGACTCCACAGAAGGGTTCGGGGCCTGTCATGGCCTTATCTGAGCCTTCTCGGGCTAATTCGTCGGGCTTTTTGTTGCCCTGATATCCCTCATGGCCTGGAATCCAGGCTAGGGTCACCTTATTTTGACTATTTAACTCTGCCAGGTCTTCTAGACAGTCGTGATTTAATTTCTGGTGAGAGAATTGCCTTTAGAGCTGCTTGGCTATCAGAGTATATGGCCTGATACTTGCTGATTTAATATTTCTCTTGCACAGTGTTGTATGACTATTAGTTCAGCCTGGAACATTGTTGCATATTTTCCTAAACTCAGCGAAATCGTTGTTTTCGACTTAGGTCCATAGATTCCAGAACTGGTTGCTTCCTTGGTTTCTGAACCGTCTGTGTACCAGACGAGTTCAGTCTGTACGGGAGGTTCCTGTTTCCAGGTTTCTCGGGCTGGTATTTGAATTTGAAAAGTTATTTCAAATTCGGATGTGGTTATGGCTCTATCAGAGGCATAGCTAGAATAGTATCCCTTTTTACTTGCTAATATAGCCTTGTGTGGTCGGCGCTATGTAGTTGGCTTATTGAGTTTTGTCCCTGCATTAGCCTATGAATAGCTGTCCTGGTTTCTCCTTGTATGAAGATGTGCAGTGGCGTAATATTTAATAATGCCTCCAAAAGCTGCAGTCGGCGTAGTGTGCATGGCCCCAGTAGCACTTAGACAGGCAAGCCGCTGAATGCTAGGGAGTTGACCTATTGCACTTGCCTGCGCAATTTTGGTTACCCACGCCACTGCATCATAGGTTATCATGGGTCTTATTACCCTTGTGTATAACCATATATTCTTTTTAAGGTTTAGACCCCAGTTTTTCCCACATATTCTTCTACGAGTACAACTTACGAGAGCTATTGAAGCTTTATATGTGAGTTTTTGAGATGTTGATTCCACGTCAGCCTTTGGTCAAATATGACTCCGAGGTATTTGGCTTCTGTCATGAATGGGATAACTAAGTTGTTTAGTACTAATGGTCTTAGTTCTGTAAGGTCCCGTTTTTTTGTGAATTGTACAACTGTTGTTTTTTGTGCGTTAATGGACAATTGTTCCTTTTTGCACCAGTTGTTCACTATGTTTAGAGCTGTTTGAGATCGCTCAGAGACTGTGCCTGCAAATCACTCCTTGACGATAATTGCTAGGTCGTATGCGTATCCTAGGCACTGGTAGCCTTGGTGACATGTCCAGCATCTGGAATTCGGTATATGACCCTTCGTCCACGGAGATGGCCCAAGTTTGACAATTCTTTATAGGAGTTGGGGTCAGAACCTTCCAGAGGTTGATTTTAAGGGTGTTGTTGCTGACCCTCAGTCTGTTGACTATTTGGGCATCTAGCCTCTTTCCACCCTCGTCTGCTATGTACGTTGTACATATCCTTGGTTTTGGGATGTCAATGTCCTGCCGTGGGCACCACATCCTTCAACCATTGTGTATTAAGGCTGTCTGCATAACGTACTACTATATATCCTGGCCTGTGTGTGCATTTGGCAAAACATACCTGTGGCCCTCCTCTCATTTGGATATCTTCGTAGGCACTTATGATCGATTCTTCGACAGCTGTTTGCTGCTCTGTTTCCATGAGAGCCTCTAGAAAGCCGGTTCTCACCACTGTGATCTTTGTAGTGATAAGGGCCTCTTTGAAAGTTACCCCTTCAATTTTGGCCTTCTTTTCCACTTTCCGATCTACAGGGGGAGTATTTCCTTCCGATATTGGCTTTTTTGTGGTCTTTTTATCGACCTGGCTGGCTTTGGTAGTCAAAGTTTGAGGTGGCTTAACTTGGGATCTGACAAAATTTCCCTTGATTATCCTCGTTTCGCAGCAATGAAATCTTGGTCAGATTTTACCAGGTTGTTTAGACTTGCTCTCGTTCGACCGGATATGACAAAGAATCTGACTTCTTTGTTTGACATTTGTTGGCACATTTGCCTGGTCAACTTCCGTGGCCTGTGGCTCTTATTCGACATTCAACTACTGTTGGTGACACATTTGCCTGTTCAGCAGTAGAAGTTTCTGAGTTATATTTCTAAGTCCATATTGTTCCCACGAGGGGCTGGGGAAGGATGCCTTGGACGGGCAAGCCTACTTACTCGGGAGGGCGGCCGGTATCCCGAGGTATTGTTTGACACAGCTGTTTCAATGCAGGCACAGCTGTTATTCATCCCTCGGCACGGTTTACTGACACCTTAGATTAAACCTGGCGTTCTTTCGTTCTTCTTGGTTAGTTTCTAATGGCTCCTACTTCCTATATATATATATATATATATATATATATATATATATATATATATATATATATATATATATATATATATATATATATATATATATATATATATATATATATATATATATGTACCTGTGCCTTTGGCCGTAGGGCCATATCTTTAATCTGTAAGCTTCTCCGCTACGGCAAAGCGAGGACCCGTAAAGTTACGACAACATAGGTTATCCCGCCTCAACATCCGGCGGAGGTGAGTTGGTTCGCGGCGGCAGGTTTCGCAAAGGATTTTGGGGGTTTTTACTCACCCTACTTATATATGCCACTGGCCAGAGATTCTGGCCATCCTCCTATCCGCCACCCGAAGACGTGCCCGGTAGGCTCTCAACCCTCGGGTTTTGAAAACTAACAAAGCTATCCATTTTTCTTTTAAATGTAGTAAGAACGTGCCATATTTGAGGCTAAATCATTTATTTAAATAATTAGCTAAAAAAGGCCTTAATTACAGAAAAAATTTTGCAAGTAGCACTTTATTTATTTACGTATTTATTTATTTATTTATCCATTTTGTGCTGATAAAATAAGATTTTACTTAAAATTCGAATATTTCAGGTACTAACGATCACACATGTCCTGTGCCTCGAGGAAAAGGTGTAGGTGGTACGAGCTTAATCAATTCATCTCAGTACGTTAGAGCTAACCAAGAAAATTTTGATTTATGGTCTAAAATTCTCCACGATTCAAGTTGGTTGTTTACCAATGTCTACAAATATTTCAAAAAATCCGAGAATTTCACATGGAATAATTTTGAAGCTTACGCAGATTTAAAGTACCATGGTACTGAAGGTCTTGTGCATTCTCAACATAAATTACCTAGTCATCCCTTAAATAACGTATTCCTACTAGCAAACCACCAATTAGGATACTTGATATCAGATTATAACAGCGACAGACGAATAGGCGGTTCTATTTTACAATTGTATACCGATAATGGTAAAAGGGATGATTTAGGTACGGCTTATATCACTCCATTTTTATACAGATCTTATTTAAAGGTGCTTACCGAAAGTTATGTTACTAAAATTGAAATTGATATAACAACTAAAACAGCCAAAAGCGTACTATTCACAAACGGAGGTAGTACTTACAGAGTACGAGCAAGAATTGAGGTTATACTATCAGCGGGTGCTATTTCCAGCCCTCAAATTTTAATGTTATCAGGAATAGGTCCAAAAGAACATCTTAAAGATATGAAAATTGATTTAATAGAAGATTTACAAGTAGGTAGTCATTTGAAAGATCACGCTTTAGGCAATCCTTTCTTGTTTTCATCAAACCTAACAATACCTGTGGAATCATTAGTACAACAAATCGCAGAATACCTTGAAGGCTTTGGACCTCTCACTTCATCTGGTACTCAGGCTCAAGCCATAGGTTTTTACAACGTTAACTGCAAAAACTGTACTGTACCTAATATCGCAATCTTTTCAGATGCCGGTGAAGTAACAGTACAAGAAAAAAGATTTCAAAATTTGAATGATGAATGTTTTGAATCTTTTACAAAGAATCCAAAAGCTAATAGTGTTAGGTTCTTTTTCCTATTATTAAATACAAAATCTTCCGGTACCATTAGGTTGAAGAGTAAGAATCCTTTTGACTATCCATTGATAGATCCAAGGCTTTTGTCTGATTCTTGTGATGAGGATATAAGGGCAATGTACTTGGGTGTTAAACAGATTTTCAGACTAGCAGAGACTCTGTCTTTTAAAAGCATTAATCTGACATTTGCTGGTGAACCATTACCAGCTTGTAGAGACTTTAAATTTAAATCTAAACAATATTGGTATTGCTATCTAAGACACGTTGTCCAAACAGCATATCACCCTATGTGCACGTGTCCAATGGGTATTAATAAATATACCGGAAGCGTTGTAGATTCAAATCTTAAAGTGTTTGGAGTCCAAAACTTGAGAGTGGCTGATGCTAGTGTTTTTCCAACCCCCATTGCAGGCTACCCAACTGCGAACTGTGTAATGATAGGAGAAAAAATTAGTGACGTCATTAAAAAGGAATATTCCTGAGTAAACGTTTGATGTCAATAAATATATTTTTAAAGAAATGCATTTTTATTTTGTTTCCATATCCAAGGGGATATTAAAAAATTAAGATGAAATTGTATTTTTTTATTTTATTAATGCAATTAAATATAAAGATAATACTTACTTATAGATATAATGTGCTTCGAAAGATTAACAATTGTCAGAGGTAGTAAAACAATTATGAAAGAATGGATGTATATTGAAATCTGTAAACTTGTAAGAACTTGAAATTGTAAAAATTAATTTTAAATTAATAAAATAATGCAATTTTAGAAATATGGACATGAATAATCCCCTACCCTACTAATAGCAATCTGCCAGAAACATCCCATTTTGGTTTCATGTATGTTTCTGACATGAATGGTACGTCCCTACGATGTCTCTATAGAAACATTTCTGGAATGATTTCTCAAGAACGTTTTAAAAACATCGTAATTTTGTATAAGTATTCTATTTTCGTTTTAAATATTATTTTAAAAATATCAATAAATTATAAAATCACTGCAATCACACAAGAAATCTACAATAATATCAAACGCCAATATTAAATTTGAACATTTTGTACATTTTTATTTAACCAAGACAACTGCTACAGGTCAAATTTATCTTTATTAGCTCCTTCAAAAAAGAGTGCAAAGCAAATACGACAGAGATGAATATACTCTTCCTTAAATGTACAAAGGAGGCTGTTTGATGTGTTAAACCTGATCTTATAAGATGCTAGCTCGGCTAACCGCAATGCCAAAAATGCTACTTAAAGTGTAAACTTCAAAAAACTTTGGAAGCAGAGTGTAGGTACTATGTAAATTCTGCATTATAGACAAATAAATGTCTGGTAACTCTGGTCTTATGCTTACAAAATGCAAGAACGCAAAAATGCTACGCAAAGCTCATTGATTATATTACTGTATGGGTAAATTCTGCACCTTAAAAAAAAGCCCCTTTATGTGCACATGAATTAGCCATTGATTAAATATAGATTTAAGTTGATTCAGAATCAGAATCTAAGAGGTATTGAAGTAGTATTGTAAATACAGAATAAAAAGAAATACTTACTTTTGAACAACAATATCTTATTCAGGTTTGTTTCTATAATTACAGGCAACAAAAATAATCCAAAATATAAAAAAAAAATTAAATCCAAACGCCATACGTTTCTTCCTAAAAAAAAAAAAATAACACCCTGTATAGTTATTTTTTTTAATGCAATGTAAGAAAAAAAGCATAATTTGACAGATATAAGGTAAAATTGTATAAAGCTGTGTCATTGGTTTATTTAACAAGCAACAAATATTTTGATATCTGAAGGGGAGTTAGATTTGAGCAAATTTTATCATTAAAGTTTGAATTCAATTATTATAAAGTCATTTTGTGAATCAATTATAGTTTATTATTAAAATACAAACCTTTTTAAGTAGAGTTTTGATGATGTCATAATTTGAAGTAATTTCTATTGGTTTCTAAAACCTCAGTAAGCGTAAGGGGAAGTTTGGTCCATAGCAACCCCTAGTTACGCGATAAATAGGGACTTCTAAAAAAATCTAAGATGGAGACGAAAAAAAGGTGTCACCTGAAAGAAAATTAGTTTAAAAAAATCAATAAATATTGATTTGGATAATTTAAACAGTATAAAAAATATTAAGTAAGTCAATGACATACAATTTATAAATAATATTGCATTGTATGAATGAATTTATAAAGAAAAATTCAACTTACCGGCCACAAAGTATCTTCAAAGGATTTGGAGTGTCTCATCCAAAGAAATAATCCGATATAACGTAAGTGCAAGCAGATCAATTCCCATATTTCACATTATTGAGTCATGTGTGCTACAAACAAATAAACCCAGTGCACATTATAAGTTAAAAGAAAATATAAACACTAAAGAAAGGATATTTCATTCTTTAAAAGTTTCATATGGTTACCTAAAGCTTGTGAAGATAAGCGAAAACAGTGTAGATAGTTTAAAAACTTGTCTTTATTCCAAATACACATTCTAATACTATTTCAATAGAAATATAGGTTATGTTGTGAAATAGGATAGAAAATAGAAAGTATTTTCGTGATTTTTATCCAGAGCAATATAAAGTCATTCCAATTTTCGATATTTGCAACGCAAATAAAATGTTCTTACTTAAATTTCTACTCAACAGAGGTTATGAATAGTAATCTACCTGGTACTTACGAGGTTTATTCGTAGATGGTAGCACGATCTCGTGTTTTGCGCAGAGAAATTAAAATTTAAAATAATCTGGATAAAAAAAGGAATACAAATTATAAATTTTGATCAAAATTTTTAATAATTTCACGAATATACAGTAAGGTGTACATATTAGTTTAAGGAATTTTACTTACATGAATGTTCATTGTTATTTATGTCAAATTGTGCTTTATTTTCATTTTATGAAATAAAAAAAAAATCTGTTATTTGAATCTTGAATGATAATTATCATTATTATCAGAGTATTTATTAAAGTGTTTAGAGCGCCAATAGAACCCAACCTGAGATAAGAGCCCAAAAGGTAAGTGGGAAACTTACCATAAATATTAAATTTAAACTATTTTGTTAAATCTATATAAAAACGACTGAGCATAGTTTTATAAGGGGAAGTTTTGGTTTTCTTTTCGATAAAATAAAAAAACAAACTAAATAAAAATAAATATAAAATAAACCAAAAAAAAAAAATATAAAAAACAAACTAAATAAAAATAAAATAAACAAACCAAAACAAAAAATACATTAAACTCGTCATCTTTACCAGAACAGACGTTCGAATAGTAAGGATCAAATTCAGTATCAGGACATTCTGAGAGCAGATCCTAATAGCAACATCTCTCTCGGAAAACCAATCAACGAAGAAATGGTAAAAAGTTGGGAAAATATTTGCAAGACGGTTTAGAGAATGGCAAAATATCAAAGTTTGTTTGCGAAATCAAAATCTGGAATACTTTCACTTGGGTCCCCCACCTTAAACTCAGAACCCAAAAGTTTAGTGACTAGTCACGTCATCAAATAAAACCGACTGTTATTTATATATGTTGCAAGACCCATTTGAAAGGTGATGTGAAGTTTAGCTGAACCTCTGTAAGCTAGGCTTGGAGGGAACAGAAATATACGCATCAAAACAAATGCAAATGTAACAAAAGTATATTAGACATCTATCATAGAATATACGCATCGTAGGCACCTTATATATCCGTCTTTAAACACAAATGTGAAAAATATGATAGAAAAGGCAGATATCAATGGTTTTTTCATTTTGGAAAGAATCTTGTAGAGATATGGAAGTCAGACAAAGCATTTGAAAAAACTAGCATACTGTCACGAATAGCATTTAAAAAAATTAGATTTTTATTAAAGATAAAATAAAGTACTTTCCAAAAATATATTTCAACTCAAATTTTAATAAAGCCATTTCCAAAAATATAATTTTATTTCAATCTTTTTAATTTCCATTCAATTCCAATTTGTGTTTAATATTACATTTAAAGTTATTTAAAACAATAACAATCTTTTCGTCTAGTAATTAAAAACTTTATTTTATGTTGAAAATAAACAATGCACTCAATTCGGTTATGCTGATTCTACAATTTCAAAACAATGTTGGGGTCAGCTAGCCAAATTGACAAAACAAAAAATAACAACATTTTTGGCACAACCGAGGCTATAAGTTCTTCGGTTGTGACGAAAATCGGCAGTAGGTAATACTCTGCTGTATTACAGTAATAAAAATAAAAATAAAAAATAAAGTCGTGACATTCCAGCTTGCTGTTAAAATATGTGGTAAGGTTATCTTATAAATATAATAAAAAATAAAATAAAATAAAAAAGGTATTTCTGAGAAAAGTAACTAGTTGGTTCTTTAAAGTCTTTATAGTGTATATGTATTGTATATTTGGGGTGTATTATTATATTGGGGATTTCTGGACAGTTCAGGGGATTTTAGTTTGTATTTATTAAAGATTTGTAGTTTTTTATGCAGTGACTTTTATTCCTTCCCAAGTAGCGTAAAGCCAAGCCAAGCGTAATAAATCATAAGAAAGGTTCTCCAGTGAGTATTTTCGGGTGGCGCAAAGATCTTCCTCAACTGGAAGATCGTTTGGGCGATCCGAAATACGCAGTGGCGTACCCCACGATTAATTGGTTTGCCTAACAAACCACTTAACCACTTAACATTTAAAGGCACCAACTAAAAGCAAACAATAATTTCAATCAGTCTTTATACTTCAGGCACCTACTTTTAAATAGCGACTGAAGAAAACCAGGCCAGAGAAAAAGCAGGAGAAATACAAAATCCAAATAAGTATTCAGAAAAACAGAGAGGGGAGAAGGAGTTATTAGAGAAAGAAATAAAGGTAAGAGAGATTGCTGGTAGACTGAATAAATTTGTAAAACATGTGGGCTAACTTAACTAATGATAAGAAGGTCCTAAGATATGTTAAAGGTTTTAAATTAATCTTTAAAACACAAAAGAACTTTCACCAAAGGATGTATTCTCTTAGAGAAAAAACTAACCTACACACTTCATAAAAAAAAGTACTAAAGAATGCAACAGGTGTTTGCTTGCTAAGGAAAATTAGTTTGGTTCTCATATTTTTTAAGGTCCAAATGAAATGATTCATCTAGATTCATCTTTAACAAATATATAGATTCTCGCATTTCAAACTGAAATATCTCAGGTCTGCCCAGAATATTTTGTTACAGGTCAATTTTGTCAAAAATTAAATTAAAGGATTCCTTTTATATCACCCCAATACATAAAAAATAAGGAAAGTATTTGAAAAAAAAAAAAAATAACTTACGAATTTGAGTGTCTTACATTTGATTTGACCATTTGCTCCATATGTTTATGCAAACACTTTAAAACCGGTAGTGCATGAACTAAGGCTTTTGAAAATAACCTTAATGATTTCCTAATTACATCTAAATCTATTGATGAATGTCTCAAACATTGTAATAAATAAAAAAAAAATGTTTTTTATCTAAAGTGTGCGAGAACTCGATTGTTACGTAGATGATGCATTTCTTGTATAAGTACAAAAATTAGAAAGACCAAGCAGAAGGCATAGTGATTGTACCAAAATGGGAAACTCAACCATCCCATGTTACAAAAAAATAAATAAATAAATGCTTTTTACTGTACATGTCAACATTAAACCTAGTTATTCACTGCAGCAAACCTTCCTTTAGCCTTACAAACAGAGTTCTGCCTAGCTCTCATTATAAATAGTCCCTAACTTTCATTATAGAAATCCTGAATAATAAAAGAAAATGTATATTAGGAAATTTAAAAAAGGGCCATCCTATTTTGCCAAAATGTATTCAAACTTGAGATTGTGACGAAGTCACTAAAATTCCCATTAATTTATTCCATAAATTAATTTCTAAAATTAATTTCCATCTATGAACATTTGCAAGACTAATATTTCCGTAGAATTACCGTTTTTAAACATTTGCAAGAGCCCTCGTAGTTTAAAACTTTGCGATATCACAATAATGTAAATCGTCTTGTAAAATTGCAATTCTAGTAGATTTTATCAGTAAGCTGATCAATTAACGTTTTTTTGCAATAACAATTTATTTCCTCTAGGTGGGGCTACCGCCCCACTCCGGCAAAAGTACGAAATCTGATAAAACTAAATGTTTGCGATGAAGGAGCTCTCTTTTCCTGCTGCTGCCGTCAGTTCGCTAGTAAAAGTTGTTTTGCTGAAGTGCCGTTTTTACCGTAAAGTGATTTTTGTGAAGAAGTTAATTAAGGTAGGCCTTTTTATTTAAAATTCCGTCTAATAATTCTCCCTGTAACATTCACTTCCGTACTATTAATTACCTGAGCTATTCGACCGATATTTTTGATTTCTTAGTACCTGTCAGGGTAACGAATTGTATTTAAATCCGGGGCGTTAGTGCCCTTCAACCATTTTCGTGTTAACCAAGGGATGATAGTGGTATTCGCTTGCTATCCCTGTCGAGAGTCGCAGCTGTTTCTGTTTTGTAGAAGCTATGGATTGCCAGATGTCTACATAAGAGAAATTTGAAACCGAATAAATAAAATAAAAATTCTCAAAGTATTGGTCGAATAATACCGCTTTAAGACACCCGTTATTTGGTCTATTGTGCCTAGTAAAATAATATTGCGGGGAGGATATTAGGCGTCGTTCTTACAAAGGCATACGTCATTTTTTTTTTCTCTCATGAGTGGAGGGTGATACTGTTCACCACCGTTGGCAGATTACCGATATTTTTATTACTGAGAGTAGCTTATTAATTTTTTTTTTATTTTTAAAACGTATAGTTTGAATCATATTTAGTTTTACTATTGTAGATTTTTTTCTTATGGCTAAAACCGGCCGTTTTCATTAATAGCAAGGAATTTGTGCTAAGGGTGTTAGTGCCCACCGTTTTAATTTTTTTTTAAAGGGAAAATTGTTATTTTTATTTTCTTATGGGTATAGTATAGGTCATAGTTAATTTTACCGTTTTATCATTTTCTGTAAATACCGAGACCTTTTATTTTATCAACATACATAATTCTGCATTTATTTTATTACCGTTATTAAACAGTTATATATATATATATATATATATATATATATATATATATATATATATATATATATATATATATATATACCGATTTCACCGCGTTTATTTTATTTTTAATTATTATTTATTTCATTTATTTTGTAAATATATTTTTGATTGAAATTCCTGAGTTTAATTTTGAATTACACCTTTGCTTTTTCCGTTTTCAGGGCGTAGTGATTAATAGGTAAAAGTGCAGTGAAAAACTTTATTTACTTTACTACCCCAGTGTAGGTCAACTTAACAGTGAAGGTCTGTCCGTTTTATTTTTTTTGTTTGTACCTGGACTCCACTGAGTCTACTGAGGGTGTACTCTACGTGCACCCCAGGGCCGCAGAGCAAACTGCGATATCAAAACTGGCGCCTGAGCAACCCCTATTCGGGAATTACATTCATAGCGCCACAGACTCGCTGAAGCACTGTAGGTGAATCGGGAGACTTGTCACAAGATTAAAACACAGTTTTAAAATACTTCAGTAGTTTCTTTCACTTGAAAAACTTAAAACAGCTGAGAGCCAAATTTGTTATGCTTGCGCCCAACGGGTATAGACCTTCTCAAAAATTTAAGTTTAAAATGTCAAGGTGGAAGCTAACAATATACAAATTTTCATTGACAAATTGCTAAAACTTCGACTCCACAACGAGCCCAGCCTTTATTAGTATTTTCATTCCCACACGAATTACCTCAATTTATGCTCGGCAAAAACAATTTTTATTTTATGGGGAAAAAGATAAAAAAAACAAAGTCTCACAGGTCTTCAGGACCTTTTATTCTAATCACTAACGCTCCAGTCAATCCAGTATCTCCCCAAACTATCGGGTGGGTAACCCAAACACTTGGTATACATACGTACGTCTAAACATTTATATAGAGGTGCTGCAATAGGTTGTACAAAATAACCAGAAAAAAGCCTATAATAACTAGATAGGAAAGTCATGTGTTGGACACATCAGATTTTTAGCTAGTAAGTAGTTATAAAATTAGCTATAAATGTAAATATTTGTTTAATTAATTACGTTTATAATGTTTACATAAATAATTATTCAGAAAATCACCTTTTCTTACTCTGAACATCTACAATGTAATTATATCAAGGACAAGCGAAGGAAAATTAAAAAATTAATCGACTTACTTTAAGAAAGATTAATTTTCATTTTCCGAGCTTGTCCGTAGATATAATTATTTCCTATCTTCCCCTAAGGCGCAATTCACACTGAACAGACGTCGGGCGAAGACTTGGCACAGACTTATGTCTGTGTGTACACAGAGGCGACCGGGCGCTGACGGCCGCCATCCTGCCTTTGCCACGTCTCCTTCCAGTCTCTCGTGGCGCATAGAAACAGACACGTCCGTTGCACGTCACTTGTGTGTATTTTCAAAATGCGAGACGATATTGAATTTAACATTCAGTTTTGTGAGGAAATTGAAAAGTATCCATGTTTATACGATTACAGTCGTTCAGATTATTGTAATAGGAGTGCCCAGGACCAAACATCGCAGAAAATCCCAAAAAAATTGGTGTTCAAGATAAGTTGTAATCTACTATATTTTTACCTTTTTTTACGGACTTTATTTTTTATTTTTATGACAAAATATTTTAAACATTTGTCAAAAAAACGATCTATTAGTGTACATACACTTCTAGTCATATTAGCTACGTAATTATATAGTGTTAGTATTTATTACTATTTATACATGAAAATTCCATGCCAACCAATCGTTTGTAGCCAAAACTATGATTCTCTAAACTTCACCTCGCCGTTCCAGCTACTGACCGAAATTACTTGTTTCTATGCCGTCCTTTCTGTGTGAATTGGCATACGTCACGTCTCCGCCACGTCCGTGTCCCGTCCTTGCCACGTCCTCGCCTGCGTCGGTTTAGTGTGAATTGCACCTAATGTGGATACATATTTAGTTCCCAGATATAAGGTGATTTTCGTAACTCACACTTCAACGGAATGATATGTAGGTTTGGTATACGATAGGAGCAGTGAATATGGGGCAAGGAAACTTCAATGTAATTATATCTACGGACAAGCTCGGAAAATTACAATTAATCTTCCTTAAGGTAAGTCAATTAATTTTTTAATTTTTTTTCACATTCTCATATTCTTTTTTATTTGGACACTTAAATAAAAGTTGTCAGTTTCTTATCTGATCAATTTTTGAAATAATCCTATTCAATGTAGTATAAAAAATCTTTATTGGTATAAAGATTAAAATATATGTTGATGGAAGCAGAGAAGAGAAGATATACTTCACACGTTTTGCTTATCTACAACTTTACAACTACACATACAATAATAATTATATCTAAATGTAAAAATAATTCAGATTTGGCTAATTATTTAGAGATTAACGCCTTCTAATGATATCCATAGATAAGTTAATCATATATGTCTAATTTAGCAATATAATTTGAATTTTTACGATACTTTTTCGTAAATAATAGTTTTCAAATTTATATATAAACTCGCTGAAATTTTAGCACATATCAATTCTGAAAAAAATGAATTCACTAACAAGAACATTTTTGGTTTGCTTTGTCTTCAGACTAGCTGTAAGTCAATCTAAAACAGTTGATGAATTGTTGGCTCTAATTATCGATGGTGATCAAAAATCGGCGGCTTACCAATTGCCAACGGATGCCAAGCAGTATGCAGCAAATGATACGACCATCAATGGTAAGAATTATTTTCTATTTATTTTTTAACAGATTTAATATGAAATGTAAAATCGGATTCATCTTGATTGAACTTTTATTAAATAGTCTAAGAAATCTTACTGATTAAATCAGGATCAGAAGATGTTCAATTTAAACTTACAATGGACTTTGGGTAAAAATCTGATGTGTCCAACACATGACTTTCCTATCTAGTTATTACAGGCTTTTTCCGTTTATTGTGTACAACCTATTGCAGCATCTCAATAAATGTTTAGAGGATAAACTAAATATATACATTGTCCACATACATCTACCGCGAAACATTTTTCTATAGATATTCATTGAAAATGAAAATATTGAAAAATTTAAATTTAGCACTTTTCCTACAATTTTTCCATTACGGTCCATTTAAAAAAAATCATGTATAAACAAATATTATAGAGATCGATATCGCAAACAATTTTTATTTCAACAATTTTCATAAAAATCAGAATTTTGCACATTTTGTCAAATTTCTCGAATACGGACCATTTCAGGAAATTTTTACATAAAACAAAAATTATAGATAATAATATTAGAAGTAACTTTTATTTGAACAATTTTCTTCTCCAAACAAATAACAGATATATTCCATAAAATATAAAAATGTCCTCCCATAAAGTACCCCCCAGATGTTCCGACTTTGTCCAAAATCTAATCATTTCACGTCAGGCCGAAATAAAACTTAAGTTTAAAATTTATTGATTTTTTCTTTATCCGTTTTTGAGTTTTCTTCAAATTTCGAAATTTACACATTTTCTCAAATATCTCGAATACAGTCCATTTTAGAGAAATTATTTATGGGACAAAAATTATAGAGAATTATATTACAAACAACTTTTGTTTAAACAATTTTTATAAAAAAAAATATTTTTTTACATTTTGTCAAATTTCTCGAATACGGACCATTTTAGGAAAATTTTGTAAATAACAAAAATTATAGATAATAAAATAAGAAGTAACTTTTATTTTAAAAATTTTCTTCCCCAAACGTAAATAACAGATATATTCCATAAAATATAAAAATGACCTATAAAGTACCCCCCCAGATGTTCCGACTCTGCCCAAAATCTAATCAGATCATTAGACGCTGGAACAAAGCTTAAGTTTGAAATTTGGTGTTTTTCCGTGTATCGGTTCATGAGTTATGCGTTATACACACACACACACACACACACACACACACACACACACACACACACACACACGCACACGCACACGCACACGCACACGCACACGCACACGCACACGCGCACGCGCACGCGCACGCGCACGCGCACGCGCACGCGCACGCGCACGCGCACGCGCACACGCACACGCACACGCACACGCACACGCACACGCACACGCACACGCACACGCACACGCACACGCACACGCACACGCACACGCACTCGCACTCGCACTCGCACTCGCACTCGCACTCGCACTCGCACTCGCACTCGCACTCGCACTCGCACTCGCACTCGCACTCGCACTCGCACTCGCACTCGCACTCGCACTCGCACTCGCACTCGCACTCGCACTCGCACTCGCACTCGCACTCGCACTCGCACTCGCACTCGCACTCGCACTCGCACTCGCACTCGCACTCGCACTCGCACTCGCACTCGCACTCGCACTCGCACTCGCACTCGCACTCGCACTCGCACTCGCACTCGCACTCGCACTCGCACTCGCACTCGCACTCGCACTCGCACTCGCACTCGCACTCGCACTCGCACTCGCACTCGCACACACACACACACACACACACACACACACACACACACAGTTATATTGGACTTTTACTTTTTGAGTAACAGCTACTTGAAAATGAGGCTGCGAGAAAAAAAAGTTGGCCATATTATGGTTAGCTATAAAAAACGATTTTAGCCAAAAGTTTTTCCCTACAAAACTATAAAACTTTCGTCTGAAACGTTTTTTTTTTTTATAAAAAGCGGTATATAGCTGTAACGCTTTAATTTAGAACACCCGGTATATGGTAACTTATTATACAATTTTGGGTTATATTGTCAACAATTTAAGAATATTTGCTTAGAGTGTCAACAATTAGGTGGTTTACCCTACTTCTATAAATAAAATGGAAGACACAAGTGGATAAAGGTGCCAAGTCACATTTTTACAAAAAATTATTTTTATGGTCTAATATACTTAAAATGTACCATATTTTTTGATGGTGATAGTTCTGATTTCTAATTTTGATAAATAACGCCTATTCATCAGATAGGAAGGTATCCTGAGCCATAACTTGTATATCATAATGCAATTGTAAAAATTTACTTGTTTTTCTCGAAATATTATTTTATTGACATAACACCTTGTCTTCAATGGTATTATAAATTCACCCTTTTTTTTCTATATCCCGCCTTTATTTTTCAATTTTCTATGCGTGTTTCCTTTAAATCTTCTGTTGTCTCTTCCAAACAATTTATTCTCGGCTTACTTTTCCTTTTATAATCAACAAATATTTTTTATTCTACATTTTTAACATGCCATGGACCTTTTTTTTTCAGATTATGGAGAAGAATACGATTTCGTCATCATTGGGGCTGGCGTTACTGGCTGCGCTATAGCAAATAGACTATCCGAAATTGGAAAATGGAAAGTTTTACTAATTGAAGCTGGGAATTTTTCTGATAATGGATTAGTCAGAATACCTACAATGTTTGCATTGAATTTATTCTCGGATTACAATTGGGGTTTCAAAACCGTACCACAAAACACGTCATGTCTCTGTGAGTTTTATGTTTTATTATTATCGATTAAATCTGAATGACATAATAATCACTCATCTTGCTGCAAAAAATGACACGTCGTGTTTTTTGCTTGATATTTGTAGTAGGGTATGTCTAATGAACTGTAACAGTTATAACTGTTATAATTCAGTTGGTATGTCCCGGTCGGTGGTGGGAACAGTCATGTGAAATTCAAATTAAAGTTGCAATAAAATATATGCATCTAGATGTCAATAGTATTTAAAAAAATTCCTTTGCAAGCATTTTCTGACGTCCGGTTTTGCTACTTCCGGTGTGGGGAAATCGGCAACATGACCGGGTGATTTACAGTTTATGACAAATATGCTTTTTACTTTTACTCTATTTTGAAAAATGACGTATCGAATTGATTTTTTAAAAGGTAATAAAGACCTTGATTACCCCCCCCCCCCCTGAAAAGTTAAGATATGAACATTAATAATATTATAAAGACAATTGTGGTGAAATTATTCAAAATAAGATAATCAGTGAAGTAAAGGAAGCTAATTTTTTGCCATTCTGGCTGACGAGACGACTGACATTGCGCGTATGGAGCAAGTCTCGCTTTGCTTGAAATATGTTGATTTAAAAGACCATTCCAAACACCTAAGAAGTTCAGTAAAAACTTTGAGAAGCTAATCCACGAAAAATCCAAAAAGACAATCATTCCCACTAGGAATCAGTTTCAACCCCTAACGGATGAATCCGACTCCGAAGGGGATGATGAAATTGGAAAAATTGTCAAGAAGAGGAAAACAGGACTGAAATTCAAACCCCTTATCATGGAAGACATACAAACACCTGGTACGTCAAACCAACAGACTACTCACTCTGCCAAACCCACACGAACTGATATGAGAGGAAACAAAAATAAAGAAACTATGCCACCCATTGTAATAGATGGGAAAACAGCGAATCAGAACAATCTAATCAAAGATCTAAAGGCACTAGTAAAGGGTGAGTTTAGTATCAAACATACTAACTACACGACCATAATTTTTGTAGACAACAGAGAAGACCATGTTAGGGTACTGAACAATATCAAAGATGAAAAATTACCACACCACACCTACACCTCAAGGGACGACAAAACACATGCATTTGTACTTAGAGGGCTGGCAAAAGGCACGAAAATATGCGACATAGAAGAAAACCTTGATGAAGAGCATGAGATAAAAGTCAAAGCTATATACTCTATGAAAACCAAAGACAGGCCACTTTTTCTAGTGATTACTGATCCGGCTATAACGATAGACTACTTAAACAAAAATACAAGGCGTGTGCTGTATACCAGGGTGACGTGGGAGCTACGAAAGTCGACAAAGCTAATTATACAATGTCACAATTGTCAGCAGTGGGGGCATGCCACGGCCAATTGTGGCCGGCCTCCACGCTGTCTTAAATGTGCGGGTGATCACCACACCCGAACGTGCACCAAAACATTGGACACACCAGCTACGTGTGCAAACTGCGGGGGTGATCACCCCGCAAACTACTCAAAATGTACCAACTATGTCGAAAAACTAGAAAGACTAATGGAAAGAAGGCCAAAAACAAGTATCAAATATGTACCCGCCCCCCAGCCCAGAATTAATCAATGAGAGGCAAGGAGGCAAATGCAAAATAAAAACGAAGATTTTCCAGCACTACCGGAAAGAAGGCAACGTGAAAATCTACCAAACGCTATATACCCCCACAAAATATCTGAAATTCCAAGGCAAACAACCCCCGGCGGATCTATGGACGATTTCGCGGCCCTAAATGATGAATTTGCAACACTAAATCGGTTGGTAAATATAGGCGAATTAATCAGAGCAGTCAGAGCACTGAACGCTAAACTCAAAAATTGCACAACGGGAAGAGAAATAATTGAAACTTATAACGCGTTCATGACGGACGTAGACATTAACTTCAAGCTTTTGAACTAAATCTAACATACAACACAGTAAAATCAGTAACATTCGTTAAATACATTGTAAAATGCTTCTGTGGATGTTTATGCGACTGCGGAATCGCTTTTTCCCAGATAAACATGGATTTCGTTAATCTCTGTGTTTTTCGGGGAAATTGGCGGGAGCAGGGGCATGAATGACTACAGAATCGCACTCATTACGGACAAATATGACAGAGAACAGGATAAAATTTGACGTACATCCTCCTTAACAGCGACGACCCCACTGAATAGTCAAATCACTACGACGATTAGTTACCAACCAGCGTTGCCAGCGCTATTACGTTCGTAACATATCTATTACTAAAGGCAATTATTTATTACGCTATTACGCCGCTCAGCAATCTATTACGTTTTTGCTATATGCCTCTAATTAAAAAAATCTCAAAAAATGGATTCAAATTAACCAAAGAAGCGAAAATTTGTACCCCTGTACGTGCTATACTGGTTTTGCAGCTTGCACCATAACTCTAATTACGCCGTCGTTTTTAAAAACTGGAGCCACTACCACACCATTGATCCTAACCTCACTTTTAAAAATTTGACGTTTTTGTTTTTGTTTATTTGATGTGTAATGTGTATTATGATTTGTGTTCTGCCGTTTATCTTCTATCTTCATTGATCTAAATTTCTTGTTTTATGGTGCATTTGTTTTTCAAGAATACAAAAATTATGTTGAGCAAGTAAGTAAACTTATCATATCTCAACATTACTTGAAGCTATTTATTATTTTTGTGCAAGTTTTTTCATGTGATGACTTTGTAGTTCCTATTTCTTTTAGTTACCTGTTACTTCTGGTTCTAGTTCTAGTTTCTAGTAATTCTAGTTAAGTATATGTTACACAAAATCTTTATTATATTTCGTAATGTTGTAATGAGGAAGTTTATTTTCTCTTTAAAATAATGTTTTTTTGTTGTTGTTTTGTATTTGTTTTTTTGTTTGTTTCTTTTGCAAGAATATTTGTTCTTATTTTTTTTTGAAATAAAATGTAAGCAGGAGCAGATCTTCTGAGTTTTATTTCTTCTGCAAATTTATGTTTATTTGAAAAAACTTCGACTGTAAACTTGGCCAGTAACGACATCTATATCAATTTTTTCCATTATTTTATGACAAGAGTGACAAGTAATAATAAATATAATTTATAATATTTATATAATTCCATTAGTTGTATTTATTAGACTAACCTCTACTAAAAAAAAGCAACAGCTGATGCACCTTGTTCATTTAAATAATAATTTCTCAGAAAACTCCACAAAAAATAGTCTATTACGAAAAATCCTAATCTGTTACGAAAATTCCACAGAATTTAGTACGAAAAATCAGACGCTGCTGGCAACGCTGTTACCAACTATAGTCGGACGGAAGACTGCACGGTGACGTCATCGCAAGGTGCGAAATTTCTTGGCTTGCCAGAATTTTTGTGTCGAGCGGTGGCTTTACTGTGGGGTCTTGTGATTTGACTAATTCATGCACTAAAATACCACGCTTCAACACACATTTAGGACAACTCTGTTTTTTCACTTGGTTTTTCAGGGACGACAGACAAAATTAAATTCACACAAAACTGATTACTATCCCATTACTGATCTGATTAATTAGCCTATATTGATCTATAATGCCGTTATACGGCAAGGAGAGATCACGAAAATCATAATTCAAACTAAAACAATATAAGTATACGGCCACGACATCGGTCATGGCTTCGACGGGGGTCATAGCAGAACTGGAACACTTCCTGGAGCAGCTGAGAAGAAATCCGTCTGCAATTTGTAAATATTTATATTGTAATAGACTGTAAAAATATTGTAAATATGTAAATAAAGATTTTGAAATGAATGAATGTTGATTTAAAAGATGTAAAACATCATAAAGTTAAGGTTTATTTGGACCCACCTCCTCACTCGTTTCTGACTCTAGAGATGGCTCTACCTGTCGAATCAAATTTAGTATACAATTTATTAAAATTACACGGTTCTGTCTGTGATAGAATAATATTTCGTTAGTTTATATCGCCGCCAAAAGAGACTGCTAGCACAATAATAGATTACGCAGGAGATCTTAATGATTCGATGCGAAGAACGTTGCCAAACTTCAATATAATTATGTTTTATTTGTTTATATTGTAAACCGTTATGAAATAAGTGGTATTTCTTAAGTTTAACACTCTGTATCTCAAAAACCAATCATGGGATTTGAATGATTACATGGACACTATTGCTTAAGAGGTCGAGAACTACAACTTATCACAAATTTATGATATTTAACAGGTCTTCACTTTTCCATAAGCGCTAGAGCTGTAAAAGTAACGAGAAAATCAATACCCGTATGTATTCGTTACTTCGGATCTGACTACCCGTATAAAAATATTCGTTACTCGTTACTTTCGTTACTATGTGATACGAATAGAGCTGTGGCAAACCGTATGTATTCGTTACTCAGTAACGGGTAGTCGGTCAGATACGAAATACGAATTCGTTACTGCATTTTTAATTTCGTTACTCGCATCCGCATCGTCGCATAACGCACAATAATAATACTTGAGAATACATACGATGCGTGTTCTGTAGATTCGTATCACATAGTAACGAAAGTAACGAGTAACGAATATTTTTATACGGGTAGTCAGATCCGAAGTAACGAATACATACGGGTATTGATTTTCTCGTTACTTTTACAGCTCTAGATACGAATCTACAGAACACGCATCGTGTGGACCTCATACACGTCTATGCGGACGCAGAATTGGTGTCTGTAACTAAACGTACGTACGCATTGCTTCGGTTGTTAGGTTTTGATACTATCTAACAGAGGGTGCGGATGAAATTATATATCGAATCGTTGGTTAAATATACATAGCGAATTTGTAATCTCTTTCCTCCATGTTTGTAATTAGTAACAAAGTCGTGTAGTTCACTGAGCATAAGCAATGAGAACTGATGTGAAGTTTTGCAAAATAAAATATCGTCAGACAGGTTGAACAGAAACATATATATTTTTCTAACACACTAGTAGAAACAATAATAATACTCTATAAAATCATAACTTTAATAAACAAAAACATATATTCTTCACAACACGCAACAGAAAAACAACTATTATACTATTCTTTAAAACTGAAATAAATAAATACATAAATATAAACAAAAGTACATTTCGAACTCTCCGAGTCCCAGTCGACGTGCGGTTCGATAGTCGATTCGCATCAAGGCCACACTCGCATTTCGCATCGCCCATCGGGCCATCTCGCATCTTGCACACCGAACCGGTGGCGGTATGTATTCTCAAGTATTATTATTGTGCGTTATGCGACGATGCGGATGCGAGTAACGAAATTAAAAATGCAGTAACGAATTCGTATTTCGTATCTGACCGACTACCCGTTACTGAGTAACGAATACATACGGTTTGCCACAGCTCTAATAAGCGCTGTGTGGACTCCTTTAAAAATATTTAAATGTATCCATTGTACTAACAAGATTTTATTTAAAATTCAAATTTTCTAGGTACTACCGATCAAACCTGCCAGGTGCCTCGTGGAAAAGGTGTAGGTGGTACGAGTTTAATCAATGCATTGCAGTATGTTAGAGCCAACCCCCAAAACTTCAATTTATGGGCTAAAATTCTCCAAGATTCAAGTTGGTCGTATACCAATGTTCTCAAATATTTCAAAAAATCCGAAAATTTCACATGGACAAATCCAAAAGCTCCCGTTGATTTAAAATACCATGGTACTGCCGGTCTCCTGAATGTTCAACACAAAGTACCTGATCATCCCTTAAATGACATATTCATAGAAGCAAATAAACAACTAAACTACGCGATAACAGATTATAACTCTCCAAATCAAATAGGTGGTACTATTATGCAACTAGACACTAAAAGTGGTACTAGGGATGATTTAGGAACGGCTTATATCACTCCATTTTTAAGCAGATCTAATTTAAGAGTACTAACTCAAAGTTATGTTACTAAAATTGAAATTGATAAAACTACTAAAACTGCTAAAAGCGTAATATTCACAAACGAAGGAAATACTTACAGAGTACGAGCAAAAATGGAGGTTATACTATCTGCAGGAGCTATTTCTAGTCCTCAAATTTTGATGTTATCCGGTGTAGGTCCAAAGGAACATTTAAAAGATATGGAAATTGATTTGATAGAAGATTTACAAGTAGGTAGTCATTTGAAAGATCACGCTTTAGGCAATCCTTTCTTCTTTTCTTCCAACCTAACAATACCCGTGGAGTCATTAAAACAACAAATCACAGAATACCTTAAAGGCTCTGGACCTTTGACTTCATCTGGTATTCAGGCTCAAGGGATAGGTTTCTACAACGTCAACTGCAAAACATGTACTGTACCTAATGTCGCAATCTTTTTAGATGCTGGTAATGAAGTAATAGCACGAGAAAAACAAAATCAAAATTTTAACGATGAATGCTTCGAATCTTTTTCAAAGAATCCTATACCTAATGGTGTTAGGTTCTTCTTCCTATTATTAAATTCAAAATCTTCCGGTACGATTAGATTGAAGAGTAACAATCCTTTTGACTATCCTTTGATAGATCCAAGACTTTTGTCTGATACTTGTGATCGGGATATAAGTACAATGTACCTTGGTATTAAACATATTTTCAAAATAGCAGAGACTCTGTCTTTTAAAAACATTAATCTGACATTTGCTGGTCAACCATTACCAGCTTGTAAAGACTTTAAATTTAAATCTAAACAATATTGGTACTGTTATCTGAGACACGTTGTCCAAACAGCATATCACCCTATGTGCACGTGTCCAATGGGTATCAATAAATATACAGGAAGCGTTGTAGATTCCAATCTTAAAGTGTTTGGAGTCAAAAAATTGAGAGTGGCTGATGCTAGTGTTTTTCCAACCCCCATTGCAGGCTACCCATCTATAAACTGTTTACTGATAGGAGAGAAAATTAGTGACGTCATTAAAAAGGAATATTCGTGAAAGGTCAATTATTATTCTAGACAGATTATCAGGAAGCTTTATGTCAATAAATATATTTTTAAATAAATGCATTTTAATTTTGTTTCCAATCATTGTCACTATTTAAAAAGATATTAAAAAATAAAGACAAATTTTAAAATTTTAATAATTTAATTTTGAAGTTACTTACAAACAAGGTGCTTTAAAAACTTAACATTTGTCAAAGCTAATAATATAACAATTATGAAAGAATAGATGTACATTAAAATGTGTAGAATTATAATGATTTAAGATGGTAAAAATTAAGTTTAATTGCATTTAATTTTAATTCCAAATGAATTTGAAAATGGTAAAAACTAAAGAACTAAGATATGGTAGACATTTTTTTAAATAAATCAAGCAGTTGCTGACACTAATTTCAATAATGCATCTTGAAAGTAATAAAGATAACAGGTTAAAGAATTATAAAAAATATAGTCTATTAAGAACTAATTGCAATAGCGTTGAAACCAATTAATTCTCAAATCGATGTAATAACGTAGAAAAAGGAGAATTAAAAACAAGTCAAAATTTCAAATAATATAATTTGATGTTTTTTGTAGATAAAAAAATTAAAAAATCTCAATCTATAAAAGGAAATTTACTCTCCAAATTTTTTGTTTATTTTTTAGGTAATATAGCTAACATTTCCTGCATATTTAGAAATTTTAAGATCAGTTATGAACGTTTTATAAAAGAGTAAAGGCATAGGCCCAGACAACACACCAAATCCCAGAGATATCCGCAGAATATCTTTTGTGGATATCCAATATATCCACAGGATATCAGAAATATTCCGTGGATCTAATATGGATATCCAAATGTCCGTCTATATCCAGGATATAGAAGATATCCTAATGGATATTCAGCAAAATATCTAATGGGTATCTTCCAGAAAATACAAGAAATCACAGAGATATCCACAGAATATATTTTGTGGATATTCAATATATCCAATATGGATATCCAAATATTTTATGGTTATCTTTAGTAGAGGTTCATAAGTAACCAATGATTATTGAATAACTTCGAAAGAAAATAGGCAGAGATAAAAAATATTTTCAACACTCAAAATATTTTCAACACTCTGCCTTTGATTTTGCCCACTAAGGAGAAAGTCATCCTTATTAGGACTCTTCAGCAATAAATGAAAATTCTCGACTCCAGTCTCTAATGGAGTGATTAGGACACACATTTCGATCGAACTCAATTACGGCGGGTCGAGCTTGAGTAGATGCGATAGTGGTATCGCCATCTATACTTAGTAAGCAGAATCAAATAACATCTAGTGGATATCCACGATGGTTTGCGTTCGCGCCTAGACTTTGATATATTTAGTGGATGTTCATGGGATATTGAATACACCTTAAAAAAATTAATTTTAAATATCTGAACGGTACTACAATGGCGTAATTTTTTTAAATAATTTGCTATATAATTACTATTATTTATGGACATTTGCATGTCTATAAATTACATTTCATGGATATAAAATAGATATCTACCATGGACTGGACATTCAGTGGATATTGGGATGTTCAGTAGATATCCAAAGGATTTGGTGTGCTGTCTGGGGGATATAACATTTACAAAACCTTCTATATTTAAAATTTGCAAAAAATGCAAAAACAAGTTAATTAAATAGTTTTAAAATGATTTTATTTTAGAGTTTCTTGTTTTATTTCATGGAGCTATAACGTCATTTGGTTTAAATTTTTTAAAAAAATTAGAATTAATTTAAAATTACGATTTGTATTTAAAGAAAATAACTTTTTTAATATAAAATATCAGGTGTGCCATTTAAAAAAATATTAATGACGTAATAGTTTCGGGAAACAGATCTCTCTGGCGCACTATTTCAAATGAGCCCGCCGGAGTGAGATGTTTTCGCTAAAGCCTGTAGCTGAAAAGAGAGGTCAACAGATTCGTGAAATAAACAATGCGGCTTAAAATCACCTTATTTTGCTCATCGCACACAGTGACTATACGAAGTAGGACGCGACATACGAATCTTTCCAATCATTATTCCATATACACGCACATTGTCAATTTTTGTTTGAGTGAAAATGTTTTTCCTTGGGCGTGGAGAAGGGCAGTTGTGCAAGTTGTGCCAAAAAAAATTCAGAGGAATTTAGAGACTTTCGTCCTATAAGCATCTTGCCGATTTTATCAAAAGTACTTGAAAAGGTGATGGAGATGCAACTAAAAGAATATATTTCGAATTACTCAATTTTATCACCTCTTCAATCGGGTTTCAGGAAAGGTTTTAGTTGCACAACTGCCCTTTTACAAATAGTTGATGACAACAATTATACACACATGAATTCTTCTTGATTTCAATCGAGCATTCGATACGATTAATCACAAATTAATAATAAGTATGTTAAAATACCTAGGCTTCTCAGACCGTATTCCGGTCACCGTACAATTTCACCAGTTTATGCTACAGTACAACCACATCCCTAACTAGCCATTCATAAAAGTGTATTTGTTGTGAAGTTCTCATCATCATCTATTGTATAGTCCAGGAGACAGTGACGATTTTCGGTATTTATTTTCCCAGTCAGCAAGCACGAATAGAGAATTGTAGGATTAGCAATTCTAAGCAAAATTCATATATATTTAGAGGGGGGATCCGATGGGCTGAGGCCGAAAATGCGTCAAAACATACGAGAACACGGCCCTTTTTTTCCATTAATAAAAATAGTTTTAGTAGTAAGAGATGTACTGAAGTTAAGTAAAAAAATAGTCTGATTAATCTGTATGGATAATATATTTGGCAAGTGCATAAAATACACTTTCAAACGAGTTATGTACACAATTATTTCTACGACCACAATTATTTAAAGAATGTTCCAGGTGTTTTGTATATTAAAGTATACGCATAGGACATATAAATAAAATCTTATATCACAATGTTTCACCTAACCAGTTGGTTTATTTATAGAAATTAAACATAATAATTGAAGATATTACAGAAGAAAATAGGGAAATAAATTACATTTCCTTTTACACTTTTATATAATAATTGTTTTATTTAGAATTCACGAATCACTTATTATTATTACTCTACATTAATTATAATTATTGTTAGTTTCGTTATGTCAAATCATTTATACTAGAAGTGTGAGGAAAATACAGTGAACTGTGGAACGCCAATATCGTTGGATGCGCGTGGCAGAAATGGTCCTATAATACTGCTAAAAACATAGCTAAATTTTCATGGAAACACTGTACTTTTGACATTTGCGATACTCCGACGCATATGCATTATTGATGTAATCTCATGATTTTACAGTAATAGTTTTTGCAATTTTAGTGTGATTTTTAGGTTATTATGGTTATTCATTTTATTTGGTTCTGATCTTTTGCGCTTTTAGAGTATTTGTCTTTATGTGTATGGTTTTTTTGGTGTAAAGTTAGACGCCTTCATTTTTCAGGTAAGTTATTTTTTACTTAAAAGGATAGCAATACGTCCTGGTTCGAGGTGTGACTTTTGGGTTTTAGCTATCTGAGCCAAATTGTCGGCTAAGTGTCCTCTTTTAGGGCACCCAGAACCGAAAACTATATAGGTATATAATATGTTTTTTTTTAATTATTTTTTAATATGTATGCAGCTTGGATGAGGGCTTTTGGAAGAGATCCTAAGACTGAACACTGACTGCTATAAATGCCGTTTTTAGAGCACATTTCATAGTAAGTGATTTCATTCTAGCAGCAATGAGGAAACGTTTAAAAAACATGCTGTACCAGCTATTACTTTAAGACCTCGTCTCTTTAAGTTATTATTACTTCATTCTAATGCATATATTAAAATGGTTTTTAACTTATGTCCTTATGATTAAAAGATGTAGGTATTTTAGTTATGTTATAATAGAAATATACGATACTTTGTATTGACTGACCTACTGGCCACTGGTCATTCCACTTTTACTCCCTTTTTCATAAATTATCAAATTATTTAAAAACAAATACATACCTAGCTATTTTCTGTAAATTACATTAAAATTTTAGTATTAATACTTTACTAATAAAACTTCAGTTAATTTATCTTATATATATACACAACGGAAGAGTTAATTGGATTTTCTCCTTGTTGAGTTTCAAAAATAGTAATTTAACATGATTTAAAAACAAATACATGAAATGGGCAAAATAGGTCTGCAAAGGCACTTTGTAAACAATCTCACTTGTATCGATGTGACGTAATGCGCGAATTCAATCTGGCTTACTTTTGTTAATAGATTCGCGTTCCATTTTAAATATACAGTTCACCGGGAATAGATTATTTAAATATACACGGACCGGGATAACAAGTACGAAAAAATTCACTGGCTCCTGGACTAGTACTGTATCGAAGGAATTTTTATGAATGAAACAATATACGACCCTCCACAATTGCGGTCTACTCTACTTCCGCTGTTGTCAGACATTATTTTTTTTTGACAATTTAAAGACCTAACAGTAATTCAAACAAACGCAATAACATTACTACAGTTAAAAACATCGCAAACTTGGCATCAATATTTTAATTTTATCCAAATATTGCATTTCTGTCGAGGATCATCCGCGTGTTGACTTCAGAAATTGGGTAATCTGTATTGGTTATATATATCTATAGTTAAAAGCACGTAAACTTGGCATCAATGTTCAATCCGATTATTGAGTTTCTACCGCGGACACCACCGTTCATTCTTCAAAATTTTTGTAAATAATCCTATCTGTCTTGGTTATATATCTATGAGTACAACCAGGGCCGCCGAGAGCCAGGTCGGGCCCCGGGACAATTTTTCAGGTCGGGCTCCGCAATTATGCCTTTTCAATATCACATTTTAAAAAAAAGTCTTTAAGCAAAAACTTCTCCTCTTTAGTGAAATCTCATAAAAAATCCTCCTACAAAAACAAAAACCGTTCTCACCCAAAGCTGCCGGCCCGCCCCATTATGCCGCTGCCGTGCCCCCACTTGACAGCGGTCCCGGGAATTGGTCCCGGCTACCCTTCCCCCCCTTCTTCTCGGC